ATAATATGCTGCTTCTCTCACCCATTCCCCCATGAATCCCATCCCCATTATCACTTACCTGGCCAAGGCCTTGCGTAAGAGGCAATACTTAAAGAATGGAATGAACTGGAGCTGTTGCCAGAGAACAGAGTGGCGGTGCCAGGTACCCAGTGTCATCGCCTCACTGCCCTCCAAGGGGTGTATGTGCAGGATCCCAAAGGGAGAGAAGATGTAGTGTTCAGGATTCACCTTGTTTGGTGGCACCACCTTCAGGCTGTAGGGCCTTTAAAAAAGAGCTTTGATCAGTGGATAAGAGAAGAATGGGCAAAGGGGGTACCTTTCTCGGAAGGGAAGAGAGAACTTCCACTTTGATTACGGCCCTGTCTAAATAATGTCAGAGTTTGTGGACTCAGAGGCTTCTATAGCCTTGGCAGCTCATGACAAGAGCCTTGGGTGATCACTAACGTCATAAATAAGAGTGTCAGTTGTTAAATCAACAGCAGGAGTCACTTGCACTTGCTCCCCATGTAGGACCTCTGTCCTTAATGTGTTGTACTATGCGAATTAACGGTAAAACTAGTCTTCAAACGGTACTTTATACTTTGTGTGTCTGTGTGGGTGCAAACTGTTGAAATCTTTACTTATTATAGAGTTGATCATCTGTATATAAAGATAATTAAAAATGAATCTTACTGAAGAACGGGATGGGAGAAGGAGTAGGAGGTGGGATGGTTTAGGGGTTGGAGGGTGGGTATGGGGAAAGAACCATTATAATCCAAAAGTTGTACCTATGAAATTTATATTTATTAAATAAAAGCTTTCTATAAAAAATAAAATAAAAAACAGAAGGATGGGGGAGGATGGTAAAGAAGCAGAAAGGAAAGCAGAAGGTGGAAAGAGGAGAAAGAGAGCAGAATGATTTCAAACTAGAAAGATGGCACACACAAATTGAAGCCAATGATAGATGGGAGCAAAGAAAATGGCACCTGCCCACTTCCAAGAAATTCCTATATCCAAACCCAGACATCTCACACCCCATCAAAAGTCAGCTACAGCCTTATTTTATGAAACATTAAGAGTTAAAAAGTGCTTCCCATATGACACTTCATCAGTTTTGTAATACATAGTGCAATCTTGGAGAAGTTAACTTGTAAAAAGATTGCTCGCCTTAGAAATGACAAGGTACATATAGAACTAGGTAATAAAAAAAGCATGCAGAGATAACCAGAGAATACTGTTTGCAATAATTGAGATTTGGAAAAAAGGGGAGACTAGAAAACTAGAAACAGGCGAACAAAGATGAAAACTGCAACCTACCCTGTCAGACAACTCCAGAGCCATTTCACAGTCCAAACAGACCTTGGGTTCTCTGCCTTCAGAAAATGCACCTGCACTCTGCATCAAATGCAATGTATATGTAGCTACATAATAGTTGTAACTAATTCCAGTGGACCAGTTAACATAATGCTGTATTTGGTAACATTTAATAAAGAATGTATTTTTATTTTGTAATTTTCATAACTCTAAACTAGTTATTTTTAAGAAGATATATTTATTTATTTGACAGGCAGAGTTACAGAGTGGAGGACGGGATATCACCCATCTTCTGGTTCACTCCACAAATAGCAGCAACAACAGGGGCTAGGCCAAGCTAAGTACAGGAGCCAGGAACTTCATCTGAGTCGCCTGAATGGGCACAGGGACCCAAGGACTTGTGCCATCTTCCACTGCTTTCCCAGGAACATTAGCAGGGAGCTGGTTGGGAAGTAGAGCTGCTGGGTCTGAAATGGGCACCTATAGGAGCTACCAACATTGCTGGCAGCAGCTTAACCTGCTGTGCCACAATGCTAGCCCTAGAACCAGCACTATTTTTAGCATCAAATATATGTTTAAGCCCTTTAAAAGTTGTGTCCTAGGTCTCATGTCTATAATGCCTAAGAGATAAAGTGTCCTTCCTCTATCTTTTATCTTTCTCAGCTTTCTGGACTACATGATTAAGTGATGTAAGACTTAAATAGATACCAGAATGGACTCATTAAGTCATATAAAAGCTTTATTTCTTTTCTGACAGAGTTACTAGGCCTTCTCAAGTACTATTATCCCCAAATTATAGATGAGAATACTAAAACAAAGAACAAAGAACAAAGGGGGCCAACACTTTGGTGTAGCAGGTTAAGATGCAGCCTGCAGTGCTGCCATCCTGTATGGGAGCTGGTTGGAGACCAGCTGCACCACTTCTAATCCAGTTCCCTGCTAATATACTTGGGAAAGCAGCAGAAAATAGCCCAAGTCCTTGGGTCCTTGCACCCACATGGGAGACATGGATAAATCTCCTGGCTTCTGGCTTTGACCTGGCCCAGCCCTGGCTGTTGCAGCCATTTGCAGGTTGAACTATCAGATGGAAGATATCTCTGTCTCATCCTCTCTCTCTAACTCTGCCTTTTAAACAGATAATTTTTTTAAAAAACAATTGAAAAAAAATCTTCCTGACTCAAACCACATCCCTTAACCAATGGACCACATAGCTTTCTGTCTCTCTGTAACTCTGTCTTCCAAATAAATGAATAAAGTAGAGAAGATACAGGATTTAAAAGCAAATCTGGGGTCCATCATTATGGCATAACAGGTTGGGCCACCGCCTGCAGTGTTACTATTCCATATGGGCACCAGTTTGAGTCCTGGCTGTTCTACCTCCAATCCAGCTCCCTGCTAATTACCTGGGAAAGCAGCAGAAGATAGCCCAAGTACTTAGGCCCCTGCACCCATGTGGGAGACCTGGAAGAAGCTCCTGGTTCCTGGCTTTGTACCAGCCTAGCTCTGTCTATTGCAGCCATGTAGGGAGTGAGCCAGTGGATAGAAGATCAAATTATTTAACCTGGAGTTGGCATTGTGGCACAGCAGGTTAAGGTGCTGCCTGTGATGCTGGCATCCCACATGAGCTGTTCCACTTCCAATCTACCTCCCTGATAATGTGCCTGAGAAGGCAGCAGAATATGTACCAATGCTTAGACCCCTGCCACCCACATGGGAGACCCAAATGGAGTTTCCAGGCTCCTGGTTTCAGCCTGGCCCAGCCCCAGCCATTACAGCCATTTGGGGAATGACCCATTGGAGGGAAGATCTTTCCTTTCTTCCTTCCTCCCTTCCCTCGCTCCCTCTCTCCTTTCCTTCCTCCCTCTCTCCTTTTCTAATTCTGCATTTCAAATAAATAAATAAATCTTTTTTAAAAAGTTATTTAACCTTTCCATACCTTAGTCTACTCATTTTATATGCGAAAATAACAGCAACTACTGGTAGGAGGAGATTAAATAATATATGTCTGGTTTTCATTAGCAAATGGCTGGCATGTAGAAAATCTTGAATAATGGTAACCATTAGTATTATTTCTGGGAAGTGGTAAGACTTGAAAAGGGCTTTTAAAATTAGGTAAATTTTTAGCTAATAGGAGACAGTGAAACAAATGTCCCTTAGATTGTATGAGATTTCTTTTTAAAGTCCCAGTGATAAAACTAGGACCAGGTGGTAGACGTTAAAAATAGATTTTCAGGGCCGGTGCTATGGTGCAGCGGGTTAAAGCTGTGGCCTGAAATGCCGGCAATCCATATGGGTGCCAGTTCAAGTCCTGGCTGCTCCTCTTCTGGTCCAGCTCTCTGCTATGGCCTGGGATGGCAGTAGAAGATGGCCCAGATCCTTGGGCCCCTATTCCCACATGGGAGACCTGGAAGAGGCTCCTGGAACCTGGCTTCGGATCAGCGCAGCTCCGCCTGTTGTGGCCATCTGAGGGGTGAACCATCAGATGGAAGACCCCTCTCTCTGTCTCTACCTCTCTCTCTAACTCTTTTAAGTAAATAAAATAAATCTTTAAAAAATTTTAAAAAATAAAAATAGATTTTCATGCAGTCTAAGAAATAGAATATCTTCAGGGAAACAAGATTCCCTGATACTACGAAGATTTAAACACCTGATTCTTGTATTGGAGTTGAAAGAAATCACCATTAAATTCACTTCTGAGGCTATGACCAAATGTTTCTATCATTCTAGAATAAAGACGAAAGAGTGAACAGTGTGAAAAGGATGACTAAGTCAAAAGGCTATGAGAGCAAAGAGAAGAGGAAGCAGACAGCAGAGAGGAGAGAAAGGAGGCAGAAATGAGAAACAAAGGAGGAGTATGTGGAGGAGGGACAGGGGAAGGGGTGGGCACGGGTAGAAAGATGAGGAAAGAACTACCATGGAAGGAAACTGGGGAATGGGACATGCAGAAGAGGTCTGGACTTAGTCTCTTACCTAAAGTAGCGGTTGGGAGCCACATTGAGATAGAGGAAGTGGATCTTCTTCAGGTATCTCTCTGTCTTTAGAATAGTTATCACCTCTCTACCCTGGACAGAAATGTTAGGTAAGGAATAGTCACTGCTTTTTTGAGGGAAGGTCTTCTCCACAGGAACTTCATAGACCAGCTGAGACCTATATAACAAGAAATCAAGAAGGAAAAGGTAGAGTAAGAAGGTCAGGTAGCTGGAGGTAGGTCTTGCCACTGTTGGCCAGTGAAAGGAGGGCTTAGATCAGGTGTCTGAGGAGCCTCAATGAGGCTTTCTCAGACCCTGTCTACTATTTATGTACAAAGATGTCACATAATGAGCAAATAGAGTCCATTAAACAACAGTTAGGCAACTATATTCATATAGACAAATGCAAGAACAGCCTCTTGCTTTCTGATAAATGAATCATTCTGTATGGATTGTGATTACTGTGAAGTCAGTATTATATAAAACTGTGCAAATAATGAGATGACTTAATTTTTCCCAACTTATCACAGTCTTGGATTTTTCCTGTCAATGTTATCTTTCTAGATCTGATTTCCTATCTTTACTCTCATTACACCTGCTTTCCAACTCTGCATGATCTCTATGCCTCCTATGCTTGCTCTTGCTCCCATAATCATTCTTGCTCTTCCCTCACCATCATGCAAATTCTTGCTTCATATATCCATTCCTTTCCATCCTTCAACTTCGTTAAGTTTACATCAATACTCTCATCTTCTAACTCTTCCACCATACCAGCTGGCAAATTTGGTATGAAGAGTCATTATATAAGAACCCAGAAGTGACTTACCTAGATGAATAATTTTGCTTGGAGTGACCTTACCACAAAAAAAAAAAAATCCTAGGAATGATTTAATTTAAATTTAACCAGTCAAAGCATAATTAATTGAGCAAAACTTAGATCAGCAAAACATGCTACCCAACAATCCTATTCTAAAGTTCATATCAAAAATAGGATTTATGATCTTGATGTTGTACCAGTACATATTAATGGTGTAACTGCTATTACATGCTTATTTCCTCAGTAAATTCCTACATAATACAGTAAGTAAATTCAGAAGATCACAGAACCAGGAATACTGGCTCCTCTGTAGATCCCTGGTATCCAGTCTCATCTGGGAAATTATTCTATTTTTTTGTTTTGTTTAAAGATTTATTTATTTATTTGAAAGGCAGAGATGCAGAGGCAGAGGCAGTGACAGAGAGATCTTCCATCTGTTGGTTCACTCCCCAGATGGCGGCAACAAATGGAGTTGCGCCAGTCCGAAGCCAGGAGCCAGGAGCTTCCTCCAGGTCTCCCATGAAGGTGTAGGGGCCCAAGCACTTGGGCCATCTTCTACTGCTTTCCCAGGCCATAGCAGAGAGTTGGATCAGAAGTGGAGCAGCCAGGACTCCAACCGGCACCATATAGGATGCCGGCCCCACTGGCAGCAGCTTTACCCACTATGCCACAGCGCCAGCCTGAATATTCTGTTTTTTGATGACTTAATGCAAGTTCCCCAGAACACTACCTCTTTTTTTTTTTTTTTAAGATTTTATTTATTTGAAAGAGAGTTACAGAGAGGTAGAGACAGAGAGAGAGGCTTTCCATCTGCTGGTTCACTCTCCAATTGGCCGCAACTGCCGGAGCTGCGCCAATCTGAAGCCAGGAGCCAGGCGCTTCTTCCAGGTCTCCCATGTGGGTGCAGGGGCCCAAGGACTTGGGCCGTCTTCTACTGCTATCTCAGGCCATAGCAGAGAGCTGGACTGAAAGAGGAGCAGCTGGGACTAGAACCAGCATCCATATGGGATGCCAGCACTTCAGGCCAGGGCTTTAACCTGCTGCGCCACAGCGCTAGCCCCAAAGCTACCTCTTTCAAGTTCCCATGTCCACCCCACCAAGCCCTTCATTTGATACCATTCTCTGCTTTCTCCCTCGCATGGGGGAAAACTCAGGTTCTAAGCCATGAACTAACTCTCTTAACTTCAGTTGCTTTCCTATACATTATCTGGCCCCCAATTTGATAGGGAAGAGTATCCTTTCTTTTCTGCAAAGCTAATTCCCTCATCTGTGCTCGGGATCCCTTAGCCCCTTTGTAAGATGTATTTTAATCTCATCTTCTTTCCTTAGCCTATTTATTCATTCAGTCTACAGATAATTATTTATTGAATACCTACTCCTGAAGCACTGCCTCAAGGACTATAAACATCTCCCTATCTTTAAAAATGAGTTCCATCCAGACACCAAAATTTTTTCAAGCTACTGTCTTACTATCTGTCTTTCCCTTTCAAGCCAAGCTTCATGAAAGAATAATAAAATGTGATTTGCGCAACTTCATCTCCCTTCCATTCACTCTTAAATATACAGTTGGCTTCCTCTCCACAAAACTATACAAACTGCTCTCACCAGCCAATTCCTTGTTGCTAAATCCCATGACATTCTTAAGATTCTTACTTGCCTCAGTAGCATCTAACATTACTGTTTCCTCTTCCTTGAAATTCTTATTTAACCTCTTAATCTATAAGATATTTTGCTAACCTAATCTAGATTGAAATTCCTCTGATAAGCTTTTCCCTAACTATATGCACACAAACACACTCCAGAGAAGCAGCCAGGCCAAAGGCAGTGTTTTTTTCGTTTGTTTTTTTTTTTTTTTTTTTGTTTGTTTGTTTGTTTTTAATATCTCTTTAACTAAACTGTAAGGTTACAAAGTGAGGAACTGAGTGACTGAGTGTCTAGTTCACATCTGTATTTCCATCATCTAGCAATTAGTGATACAAGTATCCAACAATATTTATTAACTATCTGAATGCCTAGGGAACCAGTCTGGGAAAACTTAGTGCAAAATGATTCATATTCAGATTTACTACCGTTTTCAAAGAGAGCACAGACAACCTGATTTTTGCCAACATCTCAGCCCACTGTTATTTCAGTTAAGTTCCCTCAGGAAAGGAAGCTCCACTCAGGGCACATGGTAGCTCTTCGAAAAAGGAAAAGTGTGGGTGGTGCTGTGGCATAGCAAGTTAAGCTACCACCTGTGATAACAACATCACATGTCAGCATGGGTTTGAGTCCTGGCTGCTCCACTTCTTATCCAGCTCCCTGCTTATGGCCTGGGAAAACCAGTTGAAGATGACCCAAGTGTTTGGGCTCTGCCACTCATGTTGGAGATCCAGAAGAAGCTCCTGGCTCCTGGTTTCAGCTTGGCCCAGGCCTGGAAGCTCCTGGTTTCTGGCTTTGGCCTAGCCCAGCCCAGCCCTGGCCATTCTGGCCATCTAGGTAGTGAACCACTAGATGTAGGATGCTTTCTCGCTCGCTTCCTCCCTCTCTCTCTGTCTCTCTCTCTCTCTGTAACTCTTTTAAATAAATAAATAAATAACTCTTGAAAAAAAAAAAAAAGGAAAAGTATTTGCTAGGGCTCATCCCAGGAGCCTGCCTATCAGGGCTCCAAGACTTTGGGCAAAACTTGACTCATTCATAACCTCAGAGCAAAAACTGAGGAAGATAAGTTTGATTAAAGGTAAAACTGGCCTACTTTCCAGATTTAAATGTGTCATAGACAAACTACAAAGCACCTAGAAAATCATGCCAGAGGGTGGGGAGAAACCCCAAAAATAAAGGTAAAGAACTCTCAGAAGAGGAGGGCTCTGTAGGCATTCTGAAATCCTAGAGAGCATTGATAGCTGTAACTCTGCTTTTCAAATAAATAAACAGCATATCGAAAATGAAAAGAGAAAGAAAGCTATTGGGTTAGGATGAAATACCATCCAGTAGTGTTGCCTACTTTATTCTGCCTTTGAGCCACATTAGCTCACATGGACATGTGGGAAGCTACTCACAGCACTCTAGGAGTATCCTGAGGGAAGGAATTTTATACCCAGCATCTAGGACCCAGTACCTGGTAGGCACAGAGGCAAAAGTCAAGTGGCTACAAACAAAGGAGAAAAAGAATGAAAGAGGCTTCTGGCACTATGTGAGAAAGAAGTGTGGAAACTGTGGAAAGTCAAGTTGTTTACTGAAGATGTGGTTTCCTCATAGCTGACTTCTGATTCTCATTAATTCCTGCATTTACCTATGGGGATTAACAATAAAATACCAGGCTCATTTTCTAGATGAAAATTAGCTTGGGGTCTAATCCCTAAGACCAATTGGGAGCTGGCACTATCAGTACCCACCAACTGGCTCTTTTCCTTCTTTGCCCAAAGCCCCAGATGGAGTCCCTCACTTACCTCATCTCTCTTCTTCCAGCAGGTTCCTCCACGGCTTTGTCAGTACCAACGTTTTCATATTGTACAGGGATGTCCGTTGCCAGTGCCAAGGGCAGGAGACTAAGGCCATCCAGCCACTGGGCCTCTTCTAGGGCCACCTCAGCACCAACGATGCCCAAGCAGTGCTGTAGTTCAGGCAATGTCAGCGGTCGCAGCCAGGTGGCCAAGTCATCCCTCATTTGCTGCCCACCCCACCGGGCCTGCACCAGAGGGCAGGTTGGGCAGGGGCGCTTATGACAGAACTTCTTCTGGGGACCACAGTCAACATGGGAGGCACTGTCTAACAAAGAGCTGTCAGGGGGGAAGGCCTGGTCTATGGCAGTTAGCAGGTCTAGCTGGAGATGGCACTGGACCCAGGGAGCCCAGCAGAACAGCTGCTCCAGGAAGGGCAGCAAATCAAGGTGACCGGCAAGCAACTCACGATATGGAGGCAGCAGACCAAGTACTGCATGCAGGTAGCACCAAGCTGCAGGGCTGTGATCCTGGAGCACAGCTGAGAACAGAGCTTTGAGCTCAGCTAGCAGGAGTTCCAGCACTGTGGGCTGCTCTGTCTCAGGCGCTGCCTTGAGGAACTGCCTCTGTTTTCTCTGATGGGCCCCAGGCTGTCCTTTGCTGTGGGCACAGACGGAATGCCAGGACTCAAGGGCATCAGATGATGTTTCACCAGGAGGCAAACCTACCCACCTCTCCTCTGTGACCAAGAGGAGCTGGGCTCGCAACTCCTGTCGAAGTGACCTTGCCCACAACTCAGGCTTCAATTGCCAGTTCCAGGCTCTCGATGGCTGAGCCTCACCTGCAGGATCGAGTCCAAGAGAGGGGCAGGAGAAGGGCCCTCAGGCTTTGGGCATGGGGATGGTCAGGGTCAATGGCTTTGGGGGAAATGGGGAGGAAGGGACTCAGGATAGGGAAATGGATGGCAGCAGAGGGCTTTTCCTGAGACCCTAAGTCCTCTCCAGAGCCTCCCAGAAAAGCAGCAGCCCCAGGTCAGAAGCAGGAACCTTCTCGCACAGGAGTTCCTTCCCACCTCTCAGTACCCTGTTCCCTCACCTGGCTGAAGGCGTACAGGAGGCAAGGGAAGGGAGGAGAGCCAGGTCCGCGGATGAGGTTTCATTGCGGGGGAGCGCCTGCTTGGAGAAGTGAAGGGACCCGGGTCAAACACAGCCACACACAAGGGCTTACGGACAGTGGCACATGCACCTGTAATCACTTGAGGTAAACTGACACTCCCACAGGGCCCTTCACTCAGAGTGGAAGCTGGGAATCCCCTGAAGGGGAAGGCACAGGTGGACTCAGAGGCGGCAAAGCTCAGTCCTGGGACGTCTCCGCCCAAAGGCCGTGCAGGTCTTGAGGACAGAAAGCTAAGAAGCCCACACAGGAGAACAAAATACCTGGGGATGTGGGTCAGGGACAGCGAGACGAAGAAGGGACAACGGAGCAGGCTGAGGGACAGGGGAGGGAGGAGGAGGACTCCGTGGGAGCGTGGGAGACGGGGTCCTCCTGGAAGCAGAGGCCAGAGCCGGTCCTGGGGGATGAAGGGACGCGGATCCTGGGCAGAGGTCTCACTCGCATCTCCATCGGCTCCCAGCTGTTAGAACGGTTACCAGAAGCTGGGAGGCCCGAGCCTCCGCAGCTCCAAGGAGGCGGGGCCAGTCAGGTGTGGGCGGGGCTGAGGACCGTGATCAGAGCAGGGAGGGGTGGGACTCGGGCCAAACCTGAGGGAGCCATAAGCCAGGGTTTCGGAGACTGGCAGAGGACCTGGGTGGGTCTGGACAAGAATGACACGTGGATTCCGAGGAATAACAATCCCGAGGGCGTGGAAGCAGGTGTCATGCGTGTGTCACTTTATCCATTCACTGAGTGTTGAAGCTAATGCCAGACTTCAACAGGATATTCGTGGACTCCATACAACCTCCTAAAGTTAAATCTGAGTAAGACAAATCCCTTGATCTCAAGGGGCTCAAGATCTAGTTAGGGGATGAAGGTATAGGGATGACTGCTTTTTAAAATTTAGCTCAATGATTAAAACAGAAAAAAAGTTCAGATCTACCTCTCAGAAACCCGTATTTGTGCATTCAACTGCCTATTTAATGTTTCCACTTGGATATCTGATAATTATTTCAAACTTGAAAACTTACCGTGTGCAAAACCGAGCTCCTAACTATCCCCTCCCATAAAGGAAACTTTCTCTTTTCACTGTCCTCTCCAGGACAAGGCAAGGAAATGGCAAGTCTGTTTTTCTGATTGCTCAGACCAAAACTTTGGAGTTCTCTCTTACACACACACCCTTAAGTAGTCATTCAGGAAATTCTGTTGGCCGTATCTTCAAAATATATCCAGAATCCAACTATTTCTTACCACTTAAGTGCTACAGCCCTGGTCTAAGCTGCCATCATTTCTTGCCTGGATTATTCCATGACCTTCTAACTGGTTTTCCTGCTTCCACCTATGTCCCTATAATCTATTCTTCGTAGAGCATCCAGTGACCCTTTTCAGATATAGGCAGATCCTATCACTCTTCTGTTCAAAGTTCAGTAATGCTTTCTCATCTCATTCCCACAGGTAAAAGCCAATGTCTTACTAAGACCTACAAATTTCTATTTGATAGCTTTGTGGCTCTGTTCTTATCATTACTCCTGCCCAGTCATGTCAAGGATACTCCCACCTAAGAGCCTCCATACATGCTGTGCTCTCTGCTTGTGTATCTTTCAGGAGACACAAAGTTGTGATGGCTGATTTTATGTCAACTTGACTGGGCTAAGGGATGCTCACATAGTTGCTAAAATGTTATTCCCATGTGTGTCTGTGAGGATATTTCTGTGAGAAATTTCTATAGACTGAGTAAAGAAGATTGTTCCCACCAGTGTAGATGGGCATCTTGCAATCTATTGCTTGAACAGAACAAAATGGCAGAGGAAGGGTGCTTTTGCTTTTTGGACTGAGATATCCATCTTCTGTCCACAGATACCAACGCTCAGGCATTCAAATTAGGTCTGAATGGGTTTCTTGGTTCTCCAGTAAGCTGACAATAAATTGTGAGACTTCTCAGCCTATTGGTTCTGCTTGGAGAACCTGCACTAACATATAAGTTTTCTGTATCCCTGTACCGAATTATCACAGACTAAGCAACTTAAAAACAAGACCAAGGTAGAATCTCACAAATTAGGTGGGGTCTTTGCTCAGAATATCATAAGCCTGAAATTGATGTGTTGACTGGGCTGAGTTCTCACACAGAGGCTATAGGGAAGAGATCTGCTTCCAGGCTCATTCTTATTGGCAGAACTCAGTTCCTAGTAGCTCTAGGACTTGAGGTACCTGTTCCTTCCTGGCCATCCAACACAGGCCACTCTCAGGTCCTAGAGGCTACCTGCTCCCTCAGCACATACTCCCCCCATCTTCAGGACAGCAACAGTGTCTCAAATCCTTCTCCTACTTCAAAGTTTTCTTACACCTTCCTCTACAACCAGCGAAAGAAAATTCCCTGTTTTTAAAGGGCTTGTATAGTTAAGCCAGGCTCACTCAGATCAACTAGGCTCACTCAGATCATTTCCCTTATTTAGGGTCAACTATGCCATATAATAAAACCTAACCACGGCAGTAAAATCTATCATATTCACAGATTTGAGAATATACAGAGTGTATATACCAGGGGGCAGGAAATCTCAAGGATTATTTTAAATTCTACCTATGACACTAGGCTATAATGGGAAAAAAAATACAATGGCTTAAAGATAAAAGCAGCTTATTTTTTCTTAAGTAATTGTCCAAGTTTAAGTACCCGTCCAAGTTTAAGTACCCCAGGACTAACATGGTATCTTTTTAGTTGACCTAGTTTTTCCAAGAAAATAGTCCTTGTTTTCAAGATCCAGGAATTCACAACCATGTCTTCTCTGACCCACTCCAGCCAGTAAGATAAGGAAAAGAAAAAGGAGAAGCCATGCATCTTCTCCCTCTTTTTTTTTTTAAAGACATAACCTGACAATTGCATCCATTATTCAATCACATGGCCACACCAAGCTATAAGGAAAGCCACAAAAAACCTTAATCTTTGTTTTCAGTGGTCATGTACTCAGATAAAATTCATGGATTAGTGAAGAAAGAAGGGGACAGTGGATGACAGGGGACAACTAGTGGCTTATACCAGCAGTTGAAGAGTAAACACTCTTCTTTCAAATGTCCACAAGGATTACTCTCTAACTTCAAATCTTTGCTTAAATCCTACTTTACAGGTGAGTCCTTCCTTAATCACCTAATAGAAAATAGCAACACTTCCCAAAATCCTTACCCTCCTTACTCTGCATTATTTTCCTCCATAGCACATACTACCTTCTCATGAAAATGCTTATTTATTTGCTTATTGACTATTGCCCCATACTAGAATATTAGGGTATTTCACAAAGTTCATGGAAAATAGGATTAAAAATATGTATATTTTGGTACCAAAAAAAGTATGCATTTGCAGAGTCTTCAGAAAATCATGGAAAATGGATATCATGAAAAGATTATGCATGGATTTTAAAAATCTTTTTGTACCAAAATAAACTTTTAATCTCATTTTTCTATAAACTTCAAAAATACACCTTCACATCGGGTCCCTAGCAGCAGATTCTGATTGCTGCCTGCTTTATCCCCAGTCCCTAATGCTAGGATCGTAAGTGATCAGAAAATATTTATGGAAAAATTCATAAATGTATATATCTTCATTAGTGAATAAGAAGATATGCTGTGCAGTCAGACTGCTTGTATTGAAATCCTAACTTCACCACTTACTAGTCATGGGACAGTTGACTTCTGTTTCATTCCTTGAAAACAAAGATAATAATAATAGCAATTTACCAAGTTGTTATGAGGATTATTTGTATATCAACTTGACTAGGCTACAGTCTCCAGTTACATAATCAAACATTCAATATAATTGATGTGTGCTTGTTGACTGTTCATTTTGATCAAATGGTAAATAAGACAGAACGGGATTCAGTGAGGGTGGGAATGACCGCATGGACAACCCTTCCTGGAAAGGGTAAGAGTCCCCAACTCACAGGAGGCCATAAAATTTAAGGACTTAATGCACAGGAGCTTATCAGATGGACAAGGACAGAATGGAACTCTATCTAGTAACCTCTGCAGAGCCCTCAACACTATATAAAAATCTAATCATGTTTCTTTTGTCAGTTCATCCTTCCATTATGTACAAAGACTATTTCCAGCCTCCTGCACTCTTTCATCTTCCATTTTATTCTGCTTTATTCTCAGATGATGACTTCACCTCCTATTTAAAAAAAAAAAGAAAAGAAAAAAAGATGTTGTATCCATCAAGGTTCTCTAGAGAACCAGAACCAGTAAAATACATGTGAATATACATAAAGAGCTTTATTTTAAGGAATTGGCTCAAATGACTGTGGGGGTTGGCAAGCCCAAAATCTGTAGGGCAGGCCAGCATGCTGCAGACTCAGGCAGAAGTTAATGCTGAGGCTTGCCCTTCAAGTGACTGGTGAGGCTAACTCATATTATCAAGGGTAATCTTTATTTTTGTTATGTGTTAACCACATCTATAAAATACCTTCACAATAACACCTAGCTTAGCGTTTTATTAAATAACTGGGTACTATGTCATAGTTAAGTAGACACACAAAACTAAGCATCATAGCTTCTATTTAAAAAGGAACTCTTGGGGTAGGCACTGGGGCACAGCAGGTCTAGATGCCCATTTCCCCTACTAGAATGCCAGTTCAAGTAACAACCTACTCCGCTTCCAATCCAGCTTTCTGATAATGCATCCTAGGGGAGAGTAGATGATGGATCAAGTGCTTGGGCCCCAACCACTCACATGAAAGACATAAATGGAGTTCTGAGCTTCTAGCCCAGCCTCTGACTGTTGCAGGCATTTGGGAAGAGAACCAGCAGATGGAAGATCACTTTCTCTCCCTCTCTCTTCTCTGTTCGCCCTGCCTATTAAGCAGATAAAAATAAACTTTTGAAAACTAGTTTTAAAAAAAGTAACAAGAATTCTCTCAATACCAAATCAGAATACAGCTTAGATCTACTCCCATACATTTCCTCTTTCTTCCAGTTACCAATTAGGGGTGTTCCTCCCCTCTCAAAGCCACACTACATATCTTTGCACTGGAACCATTCTCTCTTGTCTCCAAAGACTCAACAAAATGTTTATGGAGCATCAGCTGTGTTAGGCATTTAGTTTACCAGTATACAAAACAGTAACAATGACAAAAATTCCTGACTCAAGGAGCTTCAGGGGAGACAGATAATAACAATAAATAAAATGAGTAAGTGAGAAACGATATGAAAAAAAAAATAGCAAGATAAGGGGAATCAGGAATGTCTGAGTGCAGCATGGGTTGCAACCTTAAATAGGGTTATCAGGGTAAGCCTTAATAAAAAGTGACATCTGAGACAGGAAGAGAGTAGTTTTTCTTCTTTTTGTCTGGTTAATTCTATTACATCCTTTGGATCGCCGCTTTAAAACATCTCCTCGGGGGAACTGCCCTTCATCTCCTTTATCCTTCATAAACAGGTTAAGTTTGCACTACCATACAATACCCATTTCTTCTTTGTAACAGTTGTGGTTACTTTTCCTATATCGGCCTTAACATATCAGTTTAGTTTCAAGGGAACAAAACTGCATCTCTCGTTCATCTCTGCATCTTCAGGGCTTAATTTAGTGTTTGTAAATGCAGTCATTGGAAAATCCTGGATTATGTGAATACACGGATGAATGTGGACAAATCCAGAAGAGGAAAAATAGAGCCCAGAATTAGCCATATGTCCAAGCAATATAAATAGGGTGATCTTTCATGACCAAGGATAAGAGAGAATCAGAATGTGAGGAAAAAGGGTTGAAGATGAGGCCAAAGACATCATCTGGGACCTGATCAGAGAAGGCCTCAGTTGAGATGCTAAGGAGTCTGAATTGTCACAAAAAGCCCTAAGTAGATGAATGTCATAATTAAATTCATATTTTTACAAGAATCACTTCAGCTAATATGGAAAACAGAGTCATAAATATCTCCCAATAGCCTTTCTTCTCTTCTTCTTTAGTATCAGAAATCTGATGTCTAGTTGGACAAACGACTGGTAAGAATAAAGATTACATTTCCCAGTCTCCCTTGTAATAAGATCTGGCCACAGAACACATTTCTGATGTGCAACTTCCAATATACATCCTTCAAAGGAGGAGGGAACTACCCCTTCACCACCACTTCCTGCCCCATTTTGCCCCTTGGAGTACATCAGTTTTGTCCTAGAGTTTTACTTGAAAGAGAAATAGTAGTAACTTTGAGTCTCTCTTACTTGTAATAGAGTTAAATTTTAATTAAACAAAAGGGGGCCAACTCAAGACAAAAACCGTAAGGGGACTGCTGCTGTATAAGAGCTGATGAAAGTTTGATGAAGGTGATGACAACGGAGATGGAGCAAAGGGAAAGATTCAAGAAGTACTTAAGCAGAATTATAGGGCATAGAAATTGAGTGGAAACTCGAATGAGAGATAGTGATTGGCTCCAGATGGGGCCTTTCAGATGTTAACCTCTCTGTGAATATTAAGGGTAAAAGATACTACCCCATGAGACTCTGGATGAAAAAATCCACCTAAATCTTCGGCAAATTAAATTTACAGGTTCACTTCTGTCTCTTCTTGACAAAAGGCCTTTCTTAGTTATGTTAATAAATTGGGCTGGGAGACTGAAAGATGTTCATTCAACAAATACTTATTGAGTATCTACTATGCGCCAGGCACTTTGATAAAGATACAGTGGTGAGCAATATAGACATGGCCTCTGACTTCATGAGGTGTACAATTACAAATTGTTGAAGTTTTTACATACCAAAAACATGAGGGATTATAGAAGCTGGAGTCTTAGAAGGACTCACTGAGGAAACAGTATTTGAACTAGACCTCAAGAATGCGTATCAGTTAAGAAGGAAACATTGCAAACCAGAAGGTAAAAAGGCCCTGAAATGGAGAAGTGACAGTTTGAGAAAAGAAGGCCAGGATGGTTACAGTACCAGGAGATAGAAAATGAAGTGTGATTCAAGTCAATTTAACAAAAAGTGCAGACAGTCCAATATTTGATATTCAATAAGATAAAACCAGAGGTAGGAAGAGGCTAGATCTTGCATAGCCTAGGTCATGTTAAGAATCTCAATTTTTAGGGCCGGTGCCGCGGCTCAATAGGCTAATCCTCCGCCTAGCGGCGCCGGCACACCGGGTTCTAGTCCCGGTTGGGGCGCCAGATTCTGTCCCGGTTGCCCCTCTTCCAGGCCAGCTCTCTGCTGTGGCCCGGGAGTGCAGTGGAGGATGGCCCAGGTGCTTGGGCCCTGCACCCCATGGGAGACCAGGAAAAGCACCTGGCTCCTGGCTCCTGCCATCGGATCAGCGCGGTGCGCCGGCCGCAGTGCGCCGGCCGCGGCGGCCATTGGAGGGTGAACCAACGGCAAAAGGAAGACCTTTCTCTCTGTCTCTCTCTCTCACTGTCCACTCTGCCTGTCAAAAAAAAAAAAAAAAAAAAAAAAAAAAAAAAAGAATCTCAATTTTTATTCCAAGAATTGCAGACTACTGAAAGATTTTAAGTACCAGTTTGTGTTTTCTGGCTAGTGAGTGGACAGCAAACTGTTAGGGCACAAAAGTGAGAAGCAACAATTCCAATAATCCTTGTGGGAGTCCATGGTGAAGATGAAGAAAAGCAGATATTCTAAATATCATGGGATATTTAAAAATGTAAACTGATAGGACTTGGCAATTGAGTGAATGTATGAGAATGGGGGAAGTGTCTAAGTTTCTAGTTTCTGCAATTAGATGAGTACCAGACACAGGGCAGTTTATATGGAAGCTTGTTGAGTTTGGATGTTTTTGAGATACCTAAGTGGAGATGTCAAATAGCTTGGCGATCTAAGAGCCATTAATAACTGAAGCTCAGAATGGGAATGAAACTGCATTAAAAAAAAAGTGTTAAAAATAACAGGACCTAGCTAGAGAAACTGAGATTTAAAGGTTAACAGGAAGGTGAGCCTACAAAGGAGGCTAAGAATCTGTGCTCAAAGAGGTAGTAGTAGCAAAACTATGGGAGTGAAATCAGACACCAATTGAAGTGGATGAGGAAACAGAAAATAGCACCAAATGCTACTGAGAAGTGAAATAAACTAAGGACTATGAAATAACCATTGGATTCTAGGAGAGTGTCATTAGTGCAAACTATTTCAATGGAATGAGAGTTGAGGAAAGATGATGGAGAGGTTAACTGTTAAGTAGAAGATAGGCTCGGAACTAGAGGGGAAAAGGTATAGTTTTTGTTTTGTTTTTCTTAAGATTTATTTTATTTATTTTAAAGGCAGAGTTACAGAGAGATAGAGAGAGATCATCTATCCCCTGGTTCACTCCCCAAATATCAACCAGGGCTGGGCCATGAAGCCAGGAGCTTCTTCTGGGTCTCCCACATGGGTGCAGAGGCCCAAGCCCTCAGGCAGTCCTCTGCTGCATTAGCAGATAGCTGGTTCAGAAGTGGAGCAGCCAGGACTCCAACTGGTGCCCATATGGGATGCCAGCACTGCAGGCAGTGGCTTAACCCGTTACACCACAACACTAGTCCCACGGTTGGGGAATCTTTAGCATGTTTAACAAAGTGGGAGGAAGTCAGAGTACCTCAAAGAGGGAAGGACTAAGATCCAGACCACCAGACTAGGCACTGACCTTAGATTAGGGGCATGCTTGCTGTTTAGACAAGAGACAATGACATATTTGTACATGTAAGTGGTAAGTTACAGGATGTTGAGGGAGTTACCAACTGATAGTTTCTGCTTTTGCCTATGAAGTAAAAATACAGTTACCTGCAGAAATCAAAGGGAAGAGGCAGGCAATAAGAGGCCTAATAGTACCATTTTGAAGTAGTCATTATGATGAGCTGTAAAAACAAGTAGGAAAAATCTAGTGGGATTGTAGGAGCTGAGATTCCATTTGAAGTTGATAACTGTGGATTTAAGAGTAGGATAACTCTGCCCTATAGTGGTTTCCTTGGGTGGTATTTAAGTTTCCAAATGCAGGCACAGATCAATGTTTCATTTTATCTTAAGAGTCAAAGAGAGAGAGAGAGAGAGAGAGATGAAAAGCAAGAGAATTCAGCCTATTCCATTAAAAATCACCAGAGTTTAAACTGGTTAGGAATCTAAAGAAGGAAGGTACTAATGGAGAAAGGGTAGAAGCAACAGCTTTACCGTTGCAGTGCAATCAAACAATGACAGTAGAAAATGGTTCAAAAAAATGAAGCAGAAGGAATAAGTGGATAAAACACAAATAATAGCTTTTTTTTTTTTTTTTTTGACAGGCAGAGTGGACAGTGAGAGAGAGAGAGAGAGAGAAAGGTCTTCCTTTTTCTGTTGGTTCACCCCTCAATGGCTGCTGCGGCCGGCACACTGCAGCCAGCATACTGTGCTGATCCAAAGCCAGGAGCCAGGTGCTTCTCCTGGTCTCCCATGTGGGTGCAGGGCCCAAGGACTTGGGCCATCCTCCACTGCACTCCCAGGCCACAGCAGAGAGCTGGACAGGAAGAGGAGCAACCGGGACAGAACCCGGTGTGCCGGCAGAGGATTAGCCTATTGAGCCGCAGCGCCAGCAGATAAAATATAAAGGAGCTTGGGGTGATGTCAATGGCCAGAATATAAGGGACTGGGTAGTTAAGGCAGAGTGGAAACTATTGGAGATTAGGTCAAGGGATTGAGACCAAACTATCCAATGGCTTATCTACATACACATTAAAGATTAAGGGGGTAGATAGGAAGATCAATGGTGAGCTATTGAGAGGAAAATAACATGTGTGACTTCATTCAAAGGAGTCAGCAGTTAAGTTCTAAAGCCAAAGCAGAAACATCAGCGCTGTGTCTAATATATATATATATATGTTATGTGATAAATCTTTGTCAGTAACTATCCCTGTTTGTTGTGCTTAGAACATCACGTTGCTATCATTAAGCTAATAGCTATCACTTTATGTCAAGAAATGGGACAAACCAGTGACTGTGGAAGGAGAAATAGTAGGAATAAGGTTCTTCTCACTAACTGAACATATTTTAAATAGAGAAGAAAGGACCAGGACTGAACAGATTAAAAATCTATGGGACTGATAGGTCAGCTTGAGGGACACTTGTTTTTCTATTCCTAGAGGCAGGTTGGGTACACATGAACAAGCAGACCAAAGCTCTGGAAGTTCATAGCAAAGGTTTTAGTCAGACAGATCATGTTCCTGTCCATTTTCTGCAGTTATTAATCATGTGATATGTGGAAAGGCACAGATAATTGACAATGGAACCTTATTGCAAAGATACCTACAAATGTTGGAGGGGAATTCTTTCATCTGGTGCATAATATCCCATTCATCTAGCTCTGGAAATTGAGAAATTCACAAGATATAACACTTGCATTTATACTTCACAAGGAGAGAATTTTATTGAATAAGCAAAGCTACTCAGAAGGGAAGTTCTTGGTCAGCAACTTTTATCCTTAACATACTTTTCTCAGTAAGTAACTGTGTGTAAGATGGGCTTCTGGTACCTTCTGGGTTCTTGCTTTCCTCATGTGATAAGCGGGATACTACTACTTACTTGGAGCTTTGTTGTGAAGGTTAACCAAGAAAAAGCATAGCATCTACAAGCATCAGGACCCATACGAAGTGGGTGCTCAATAAATAACTGAGAGGCACCTGGGTTCAGGAAATGGACTTTCAAGTCAGATCTGCATTTAATACAAGATCGGCTACTTGAGAATTTCAACTTTCTAATTGCAAATGAAAAAAAAAAACTGCTTTGTGGGTCTTTGTAAAGAATTCTTTTATTGCTGTGACAACAAATGCCTAGAACATCAATTCCTCTGTAAAAAATGAAAGTCACCTGATGAGGGATGGTCTCGATTAGAGAGGAGAGGAGGTGGGAAATAACTGCCTTGGTGAAGATGAGAGAGAACAGACCAGGAAGCCATTCAGGGCTGTATGTCAGTAGTGAGGGCTTTGCTGAAGCTGGAAGCCTTGACTATTTGGTAGTATTCATTACACAACTGTTTTTCTCTACAAGTTTGAGTGGAGGATTAGAAAAGATCAAACAAGTGGGATGATAGAAAAAGGAGGACATCCTCCACAAGAAAATGGGGTGGAAGGCAATATGTCATTCAGACTGCTGAATACAGAAGAAAAGGCAGTTGGTGGGGGGGTGGGAGTGCTAACTAGAAAAGAATGGAGAGCATGGGACTAGAAATCACAAAACAGGCATACTGGACAAAGTCAGGTCCGGGGTAGAAAGCTACAATAAGATTATAGACAAGTACTGAAAGGTTAAGGTAACATTAAAAAGGTCCCAATGATTTTGTTTTATCCCCTTTTTCATAACCACCATAATCTACTTTTCCTTTTTTTTTTTTCCCTAAGTTTGACTATATTGAAGAATATGGTCTCCAAGTTTGACCCTTACGGATTGCTCCCTAAGACAAGGAAACAGCCCTTCTTTGCTTAAGGTTTTACTGCTAAATCAAGACAGAAATACTAAGAAAACAACAACCTGGGGAAATAGATAAAGTTCCAGAACACCCAGAATTCTTAACAGATTTCATCTCTGTTCTGTATCTCCTGACTTCGTAAGGAAGCGGTACCTAAAATCCCTGTGGATGTTGATCTATTGTTCATACACACACACACACACACACTTCCTTTCCCTGGAACCAGCAGAATTAAGACACAGTCCACAAAAACAGTCACATACCAATCCACATTTGACTCACAGGTGCATCTTTTAAGGCAGACTTAAGCATGGCCAGACAGGGCTCCCATTTTCTGCCATCCGGGAAGGAAACAATTCTATTGTTACTACCGACCTTGATCTTGTCCCTACAGAGCCTGACTTAACCAGCTGCCTGAACACCAGACATTTTCCTTCTACATATAGAAAACACTTCCTCAGTGGTCAGGGCTGAGGCCAGCAGATATGCACTAAACGACAGAACAAAGGATGGTGCCTACAGTGAGCAAAGGTTCCCTGCCCATAATATAAACCAAACAGAGTAAAAGGTGGGTTTATTGGCTCCAGGAAATGGAGCAACGGTACCCAACTTTCAGGCAACCCCTCGTGCAGGCTTCACCTAGTCAAAGTCCACAGGGTCCTTCAATCTGAGGGCCCATCCAAGGCCTTCCCTTTTGGGACTGGGGGTGGCTAGCTGCTGGACGGTGAGCCTTCAGGCTGTTCAGCGGCAACACCCGGCACAGCTGAGGCAGCCTCATAGTCTGCGATGCGGCGCTGTACCAGGGCAGGCATGAGCTGCACGTAAGCGGCCATGAGGCGGTGGTTGGAGTGGATCAGCTTCCCAGCACAGCTGTGTAGACAGGCCTCCTGAAAGGAAAACAGAGGGGTTAAGTAGAGGCCAAAGTGGTCCCGTTAGGCCCGGCTTCGTCCTTCCCCAACCGCAGCCTAGGGGTGAGGGTGGTGGGAAGGCCAGGCCGGAGAGGAAGGGGAAGGGGGTGGAGGAGGCAGACGACCCGTAACTGAGGATCGAGGGTAACGTCCCTACATAGTTGCCCACCTCCTCAGCGTCCAGGGCTCGGTGGTGCAGGCTGGGCACACAGCGCTGAAAGCAGAGTTCTGTCATCCGATTGTAGACCAACAGGAAGTCCCGCAACTGGAAGAAAAGGGGACCAAGAACTCAGCGATATGGGCCCCATACCTCAAGGCCCCGCAGCCACAGGCCTCCCAGGACCACGTTTCATAGCCGTTTGTTCCCAGCCTTGGCATCCCTGGCTCTCTGCAGTTCCTGCAAAGCGAGCTCACGGCACGGCTCTAGGGCGACTTAGCAGCACTCACGTTTCTCAGTTGTTGCTGTTGCTCCATCCCGCCAGGCGCTCACGCCCTACGTCACTTCCGTTTCAAGGTCTGGGTACCGCCCCGGAAGTAATCTCTCGTCGCTCCCCCGCCCTCCCCCCCACCAAGGACTAAAGGGTTGGCCCCAGGATAGCCCTGCCCCTGGCTGCTACGTCACCTCCGCCCTTAGAATCTGCGACGTGGCCAGCTTCTTCTGCCCGGAGAGGCCGTCACTTCCGCCGAGTCCCTGACCTGCTGCTAGGATCGCGACGGGAACTGGAACCGGAGGTCCCCGCGCCGCTCGGGCCTGGCGCCCTGAGGGGAAGAGCTGCCCGGCCCGAGGTGAGAGGGACGTGCCTGGGCGAGGGGAAGTTGAATGCACGGACCTGTCCTGAGGGCAAGATGCCCCTGAAAGATAGGCAAGGATGAGGACACACCTGATGCCCAGGTGTGTCGGGGGGAGGGGAACAGGGACTCACACACCTGAGAGACACAACTGACTTTGGAAGGGATCACCTTTGCTCTGGGGAAGAGAGGCTTTTACCAGCGACCAGCTGTTTCAAGCGAGGCCTGGTGCGGAGGGCCCCTGGAAGAGGAGGTGTATGAGATGGAGGGGGGAGACCACCCTGAAGGAAGAGGGAAAGAACATTTTAGGAGTATGAAAGGCGGAGCAATAGAGAGCATACCTGAGTGGGGAGAAAGCACTGGAGTGCTGGAAGGGGGCTTGGCTCCTGCTGGGAGTAAGCGCACCTGCATGGGGCTAAGTTCCAAGAGACCGGAGACTTTATCTCTCTTGTTCAGTGCTGTGTTTCCATTGCCTCAGATAGTGGCTGTCACATAGTAGGCACTCACTAAATGTCTGGTGAATGAGTGAATGCATGAACAAGCACCAGGTCCTGAGGTTGGGAGGTGGGGAGGCTGTGAGAAGACACCTGAGGCTTGGGTGTAGGTGTGTAGAAATGTGCGCTTCGGTGGGGGAGAAATACATATGCCTGAGGAAAGGAGTGGTGGCTGAACTCCAGGACACTCAGCCTGGGACTACCTCTAAAACATGAGAAATGGCAGGAGCGGACTCTCTCTTCCAGACTGCTGGCCACTTTCCAAAACTGTCTGTTGGGCTTTGCAGGGTGCTGGGGTGGAGACTTTGGCTCCAGCCCCTTCCCTAGCCATGACGGACGGGATCCTAGGGAAGGCAGCCACAATGGAGATCCCTATCCATGGGAACGGCGAAGCTGGGCAGCTTCCTGAAGATGATGGGCTGGAGCAGGTGCTTCTCTTTCATTCTTGTTTCAATTCGGGAATCCAGTTTATAAAACCTGGGCTCTCACCCCTATTCCAGCAACCTTCCTTAGCTTATCTACCTCACTTCATCCTTTTTACAAATCTTCATTCTGATTCTGTGCAGACTTCTCTAGTGTACTGTCTGTGGTGCTTCAATCCAAGCTTGTTCCCACTCCCACAATGCCTCAGCTGCCCCCCTCTTCTCTGGCCTATAGGACCTCCAGCAGGTGATGGTGTCAGGACCCAACCTCAATGAAACCAGCATTGTGTCTGGGGGCTATGGGGGCTCTGGTGATGGACTCATCCCCACAGGTATGAATGATCAGAGACAGGAAGCCTGAGTGGGGAGGGGGGTAGGAGTGGTTTGGAGGAGCATGGTATACAAGTGTATCTCGGAAAGCTTGGGAACTTCTGCTCATACAAACCCCATAGAGTCCTCTCAGCCCAAAGCCAGCTCCCAGGGTTTGCTGTCGGCTTCCCACTTACCAGTTAGCCCCTGACGTGGCATTTTTGTCCTTTCCCTGCTACAACCATCTGAACCAAGTTAAGACTTCTGGTTCACAAAAGTTCTCCTGCTCTAAAGCTTAAGCCTAATTTGGAACTCTGTGAGGCTTCTCAGTTTTACTTTAGACTCTAAAGTTTAGAGGAACAAACAGTCCCGGATGTCACTGACTGGGATTCCACATGGAGATGCCTACCAGATTTCCAAGGACTCACCATCTTTGACACCCCACCCCCAACACAATGTATTTTCTTGTTGTCCCTGCCCTGCATACCAGCAACACTCCTCCCAACCTCCCTCTACCCCAGCACACACACACACACACACACACAAAGGTAGCCAAATGTATATTGGGATTGGATTCTCAGGGCATGAGGTACATACATGTCCCTTCTAGTGAGCAGGAGAATTCAGTTGTCTCAAGCTTCCTTAGGGAAGTCATTTTCATGTGCTGGAAGGAAAGTATGAGTGAGGCCTTAGAGATGTCTGATTGTATCTGAGAGCAGCTGGTGTCAGAGAACTTGGTCCTTTAGGGTCTGGCCGCCATCCATCTCACAGCACCACTCCTCCTGGCCCTGGGGATGAAGTGGCTCGGGGCATCGCTGGAGAGAAGTTTGACATTGTCAAGAAATGGGGCATCAACACATATAAGGTGGGATTTAGCCCCTCTCCCTTCCCCAAAACTCCCCCTGGGTACTTTTTCCCCCAAATCCTAATATGCCATCTATGGCTGAGACTAGGAGCCTGGGGGTGCTGGAGTACGTACCTATTGGGAGGGAGGCAGGGTGCTAGGGTTTCTGACCTATTCCCTCACTTCCCAATCAGTGTACAAAGCAACTATTATCAGAGCGATTTGGCCGAGGCTCCCGGACTGTGGACCTGGAGCTAGAGCTGCAGATTGAGTTGCTGCGTGAGACGAAGCGCAAGTATGAGAGTGTCCTGCAGCTGGGCCGGGCACTGACAGCCCACCTCTACAGCCTGCTGCAGACCCAGCATGCACTAGGTGACGCCTTTGCTGACCTCAGCCAGAAGTCCCCAGAGCTTCAGGTGCCTCAGCCAGACCAAAGAGGGTTGGGGGACTGGGCCCTGGCCCTTCCAGACAGTCACTCCTCAGCCTCCCTCCCTCCCTCCCTCCTGCAGCCCACAGGGAGAACCCCTTCAGGGTGGGCCAAGCCCTGCCCCCAGCAGCACTCACCTGTGGAGGCAGCCTAAGGGTTTGTACAGAGGTCGAGATGTTGGAAGGGGTGGGGGAGGGGGCACACTAGGTGCCTCACGAGTAATCCCTCTCTACATTGTCAAGAATGCCCTTGGTGCTCGGCCTAATTGGAGCTCCTCCTGCCTGCTGCACTAGCTCTTCCCCATTCTGGTCTTGTGAACTTATCTGAGACACTCCCGCCCTCCACAATCCTACCCCAGACATCCCCGGGTTGCCCTACTAACTTTGTGGCAAAGAGAGCCTTGCTGCAGGCAGTCCTTGGCTGTGCCAGTTTTGGTGGCTGTTTCCTCCCTGGGGAGGAGGGGAATAAAAGGTTCTGCAGCTCCACTCGCATAGAGACTATTACTCAAGGCTGGTCTCTTCTGCCCTTAGGAGGAATTTGGCTACAACGCAGAGACACAGAAGCTGCTGTGCAAGAATGGCGAGACACTGCTAGGGGCTGTGAACTTCTTTGTCTCTAGCATCAACACATTGGTCACCAAGACCATGGAAGATACACTCATGACTGTCAAACAGTATGAGGCTGCCAGGTGTGGGCACTGGCAAAGCCTAGGTTTGGGGAGTTGGCTGGTATGGGTGGAAGTTTGGGCATTATGGGCATAAGAAGTCAGGAAGGAAAGGAGAGTGTATATTGAGGACAAAGGGATGGAGACCAGCCTGTATCATCCCCTCCCCAGGCTGGAATATGATGCCTACCGAACAGACTTAGAAGAGCTGAGCCTAGGCCCCCGGGATGCAGGAACACGCGGTCGACTCGAGAGTGCCCAGGCCACTTTCCAGGCCCATCGGGACAAGTATGAGAAGCTGCGGGGAGATGTGGCCATCAAGCTCAAGTTCCTGGAAGAAAACAAGGTGCTAACCCCACTCCCTTGATCCTAGCCCACCTTCCCTCAGAAGACACAAACCTTTCCCTCAGGCCCTCCCTGTTACTGGATGGGGAAACGCAGGCTACATAGGGGTGAGATGTTTCCCTCAGCCCCTTCAGCTCCTGGGCCTTTCTAGGGCACCCTCCATTTAATCTCCAGACCTTTTCTGTTGGAGGATCTGGCTGCTGGCCCAGGAACATAACTGGGAAAGGTCACCCGCTGAGCTGGGGTACCAGGACCCAAGGCCCAACAGTCAGGTCAGACTTCTTCCATCAGAATGACTCTTCTCCTTTGACTCCCTGGGTAAAGTTCAGCCCCTAAGCCACAAGCAGCATCAAAGCAGAGTCCATGTGCCCCAGGTCTGTGCCCAGGCCCAGGCTCACAGCCCCTCAAGAAGGGCTCCTGAGTCTGCCCTTATCTGACCCCGCTGGACCCCCAGATCAAGGTGATGCATAAGCAGCTGCTGCTCTTCCACAATGCCGTGTCCGCCTACTTTGCTGGGAATCAGAAACAACTGGAGCAGACCCTGCAGCAGTTCAACATCAAGCTGCGGCCTCCGGGAGCCGAGAAGCCCTCCTGGCTAGAGGAGCAGTGAGATGCTCCTAGCCCAACTTGGCTGTCAAGAAGGACATTGGAACGGGCAGCCCCAGGGTGGGGGAGATTGGACACGGGACATCCCTTGCCCTCTGGCTTGGGCTCCCATTCCCTGGCTGCGGCCTGATACCAGTTTTGCCCACACTGCTGTGATGGGAAGAGGGCCTGTAGGCCCAGAAGCTGCTGCCCTGTCCTTTTATCTTGCTGGCCATGGGCCTTCATTCCCAGATCTTTTCCTTCCACTCCACAGCCAAAGGCTATGACAGAAACCACTCCCTGGCCAATGGTATCACTCCACAGACCTGTCCTCAGTTCCTGGAGTGTGCCCCCTGACCAAAGGCAGAGCCTCAAAAGGCCCTGTCAGCCAATGGCAGCTCTTCTTGGGCTCCCCTGGGCCAATGATGTTGCCTCCAATACCCTTTGTCCCTCCTCTATGCGTGTCCATTGCAGAGAAGGGGACTGGGACCAAAGGGGTGGGGTTAATGGGGAACCCCATTTCTGGCCCTGCATCTGGATGGGCCTCACCTCCCCCACCCACCACCCAATTTAATTGTGCTCAGAGCCCAGGTGGATTGGGATCTAGCACTAGGAATAAACCTTTCATAAAAGCAGGCCCAGTGAGGTCAATTTGTGGGGGACTGTAGGAGGGAGGTCTGGGTGGAGAACCGTTCAGTCTAATCATACCAAAGCCTTTCCAAGTCGAAAGAACTGGAGCCAGACAGCTAAAGTCAAGTTTCAGAAATGGTCTAAAGACCCAGTGTGTTCCCCCAAGCCCAGTTGAAGCCAAAGTTTTATTTGTCCTTCAGGCCAATACCAAGATAGCTATTGAGTCTTTAGAGCAAACAGTCGAGAGGGGGTTGGGCGTGCTGAGCTTCATCATGTATTCATTCATACAGCAAATATTTACTGAGCGCTTTTATTTGCCAGGCACCGCGTTAGACCCTGGGGAAACATCAGTGACTAAAACACAGTCCCTGCCTGCAGTGCTTAGGGCCTAATGGGGGATAGAGACAAGTAACCAGGCAACTACAATACAGTGATAAGTACTAGGAAACAGAAGTCAAGGCTCTGTGGGAGCAGAGGAGGGGCATCTAGCCTAGACTGGGGCAGAGATTGGGATGTCAACTTGAAAGCTGAGAACTAAAGAGTGAGCAGATGACAGCCAGGCGAAGAGGTCAACATATGAAGGCTCTGAGCAGCAATTGAGAGGAATTCAGTTTGCAGTGAAAACTAGAGGAAGACTGCAGGTTGGTTAAGGGCGTTGCCCTTTGGACAAAGGAGAGCAGGAAAGCTTAAACAGCTTTGCCAGCATGAAGTCTAGGTTAAGGAAAGTCCTTCTGAGTAAGAAAATAGTGTCATCCAGACCCCAGTTCCCTCTTACAGGGTAGTTTAGTAGCTCTAGCCAGACACCAAGCATGAACCCACCTTCACAAGGAGCTCAGCTTGTTGAGAGGTTGCATTCCCATGGCTCCTGTTGCACCAAGCTGTTGAGCACAGATCTGAACCTTATGTGAGAAATTAAAGCTATCCAGCACAGCCCAGATGTCATCACCTCTATTGCCCCTTTGACCAAAAAAGCTCCCAGATTTTTTAACAGTTTCCCCATATATGGAGAGCTGGAGAAATAGGAAAATTCAGCAGACTGTCTTAGCACTGGGACCCACCGACTTCTTTGTCACCAACACTACGGTGCCCAGGCAAGCTTCCTGAGCTTTGGTAAGCCTGCAGTCAACTGGCTGGAACTTGATTATTAGGAAGGGTGGTCCTCATTCAATGAGCCCCCCACTTTGTGGGCCACTGAAGTTTTCAACATGAAAGGCTCTGCCTTTCCAAATGGCCAGAGGCAGGACCTAAAAGCAAATTCTGGTTCCACTGTTTCCTAGCTGAGTGATCAGAGTTAACGGCTGTGGGGAGCCAGAACCCTCTTTTCTTTCATTGCAAAATGGCTAATTAAAGCAGCTACCTTTTCCAGTTATTAAATGAGACACTACGTGTAAAAGTGGTTCCTTCTGTCTGGCGCATAATAAGCATTCATCCCTGTTATCATAGGTCATTCCGCAAATGCCCTCAACCACCATCTGAGAGTTGAGAATTCAACCCAGGTCCCTCAGGTTGGTGGTAGGGGCCCAATTACTTGAGCCATCAAGGCTGTCCCCCTGGTTCTGCATTAGCAGGAAGCTGCAGTCAGGAGCCAGAGGCGGGTATTGAACCCAGGTACTCCCAAGCGGACTCAAGCGTCTTAAACTGCTAGGCCAGGGCTGCTTTTCCATAATGCAATGACTGAAAATTGCTCCGAGTCTTTGGTGTGAGAGAGTGATCTGAACTGTAATTTCCTGCAGTGCACCTGAGGTACCTAGAGCCCAATAAGCCCGTTCTCCCAGAACTGGGTAATGCTCTGCTGCTGCGCGGAGCTCTGTGCGAGGTACAGGCAGTCCCTTCCTCTCTAGCTCCGAGGAAGCCTGACTAGCACCGTTGGAGCCCCCTGAGAAAGCCAGAGAGGGCGCCCCCAAGAGGCAGCCTGAGTGGGCTCCTGCATCCCGAAATTCCGGCTGCCCCAGCTGCCTGTTCTGAACGGAGCTTCATCGCAGTCCCTTAGACTGACTGCACCGCCTTTCTCAGGAGCTGTAGGCAGCTGGCGGAGATCCGGGATCGAGATCCGGGATCCGGCTCGCCAGCTCCCCAGCCGCACCGCCAAGGCAGCGCCCGCAGGAGCCGCAGGGGCTTGAGGGAGGGTGTGAGGGGGAGGGCGGTGCGGGAGGGGTGGGGCCTCGCGTCGGCGGGCGGGACGTGGGTGGGTCTTCAGTCCTGGAGTCGCCCCCTCCCCCGGCTGGTCCGCAGCCCCGCCCCGGCCCCTCCCTCCGGCCTGTGCGGCTGGTCCGGCGGCGGCGCCAGCGCGGGGACAGGCGGAGGCGCGGGACGTGGGGCGGCGCCGCGGGCAGGGCCGGGCGGACGGGCGCTGGCAGCGAGGGCAGCGCCGCGGGCCCCTCGGAGTGGCCGCAGTCCGGGCCTTGCCCTCCCATCCTGCTCCAACGCCGTGAGTGCGACGGGCGGAACCCAAGGGTACGTCTGTATTCCCGTCCGTCAGGGTCCGGGTCAGAACGGCCGTGTGTCTGTCCCAGCGTTTGTGGGTGGGGGCGCGGATGCTTTTCAAAAGCTGTTCCTGTCTCTGTCCACGTGAGGCGTGTCCGTGTCCATGAGAGCAGCGGGGGGATTCTTTGGGCTGTGGCTGCTCACGTGAGGTCCATGTTTCAGGGGGGAGGCGCGGGTGGATGGGTGATGGTTCCGTGGAGGAGTGCGGGTTTTGGGAGCTTGTGCGTGTTGGCGGAGGGTGCTAAACGCTGCGGTCGCGGGTTGGGTTGGGGGGGCGCAGGGTGGGGTTGCTGAACAGGACCCGGGAATCTCATGGCCCAGCTTGTCTGAAGGATTCCTTTCTCCCTGGTGCAGACTCCTCCACCCCTTGCGCCCCCTCCATCCTCCTCAGGCACCCAGAGGCCCACCAGCTAGGGTGGAGGACTGTCTTTCCTCCGCCAGCACTGCCCGCTGGCCAGGAAGCCTCATGCGGAAGGTGATTCTTTAGGAAAGGACCCCTTTGATTTTTCCTGCAGCCCGGGCCCCACCTGGAGCACCCCAGACCCTACCCTGGGCCTTATCTCCCTCCTGGATTTGGCTTCAGATCCTGGGCTGCAAACCTGCAGGGACAGATGGTTGCAGGCTGGAGGGGCAGGCTGCAGCCCAGAGAGGTCAGTCTGACTACAGGCGGACCGTGGGCTTGTTTCTGGTGTGGTGGTCTCTGATGTGGACAGCAGAAACCCACAACTGGCCCCAACAGGAAGATCAGTTGGGGGGGGGGGGTGTGCAGAGATTTTCTTCACAGGTCTCTCCCTGCCAGTCTGCCCAGCTCATCAGTGCCCATTCATGCCCTAAGCAAGTCTGATTTGCTGCAGAATTGGAATCAGAGCTGCAGGCCTGACAGGTGCCCTGCCTCTCTTGGCTTGCATGCCTCCAGTGACAGAGCACTTACTACCTTATGCTATGGGAAAGCTTCCTTATGTTAAGTGGAGGTCTCCCACTTTGGAATTTGATTCACTTGTCTTGTCATTGCCTTTTTTTGCCTGTCTCTCTGATGAGGAGGAACTGCAGATTTAAACCTGACTCTCATGTCCCCAAAATGTACTGAGAACTTTGTGTGTGGCAAGTACCACCTTAGTCACTTGGGGACCATGGCATTTTTGCTGAGAGAAGAACTTGAGGACAGGGCCCATAGTTGGAATTGTACATCCTGTGTGCAGATAAAACACAAAAACCTTATGACTAGAGTAGAAGGTGCCCAGAGTGGGTGTCACAAGTGACTTAATGTAAGAAAATATTTATTTTGGAAGGCGGGGTGGGGGCAGCTGTGACCACCCTCTAACCTAGCCTTACAGTGGACACTAGCAACCAAGTCATCAAGGTAATACAAGGTGGAATTTAATCATGGGTGCAGATTAGAATCTGCAGTGGCCCTTAGCTTGAAAGGGAACCCTTGGGAATCTCAGATTTTGAGAACAAAAAGACCACACCCTTCCGAATTTACAAGTGAGGGGATGGGGTGGGTATTTGCCCAGAGTCTCACATTATGTTACTGAATTAGTGACACAGTCAGGACAAGATCTGATTTTTTTAACCTAGACCCATTATAGAGGCAGAATTAAGAATATAGTCATAGTGTGTATCTGGAAGGTGAGAGAAGAGGAGGAATTAATACAACCAGGATTCTGGTGGATGCAGCTGGGTGAATAGTGGTACCTTTTATTGAAATGAGAAACACAGCAAGAAAATTAATTCAGTTTTGGACAAGTCCTTGTGCATCATCCAGATAGAGGCGTCCATGATACAGCTGGAGATATAGAACTGGTGTCCAAGAGCAACTCAAGCACAGGAGTTATGGCTTCGGGGCTTACTAGCAATTGGATGGTAACTGAAACCCTGGGAGACAATGAGAGTGCCCAGAGTATGAAAAGCGAGAGAAGCAGCCCCAAAACAAAACCCTAGGATCTAACCACTTGGGGGAGCACCCAAAGAGCAAGTGCAGGACCTATGTTGAGAAGACAGCGGAAGCCTCCGTACAGCCTCTGCCCTTTTGAGTCTTGCTTGCGTGCCCATCTGGTCAGCGTTTCTTAATTGTTCAAGCTTCAGTTCCTCCACTCACTGTTTTCCCTGTGTACCTAACAATCTCCTATTTGTCCCTCAAGACCCAGCTCGCATATCCTTTCCTCTAGGAGCCTTCTTTACTCCCAGCCACTTACAGAGTCAGACACTTCTTGCCATAGCAGTTTGAACATGTTGGTATCATGGTACTTACCACATTGTAATTATGTACAAGTATTTCCTGGTCTGTTTCTTACATGAGTCTTAGAAGTCTGAAAGATAGGGAGTACCAAAGGTTCAGCTTTTTGTCTCCAGTTCCCAGTTGGAGGGCTTGGCTCAGGGTATGCCCCCGGGAAAGTTTGAATGGTTCATTCATTGGCTCAGCCTGGGCTCGCCTGGCGGTGGTGGGAAAGATGGTACTGTGCATTTCATCCCTTTCCCTGTCCATGTTATCGAAAAGGTTCCTTGCTTTGAGGACTGTATC